GGAACACTATCCTAGGCCTTGAAAAACAAGTGCTATGGCGACATGGCACTCCAGAAAGAATTGAGTTGGACAACAGAACTCATTTCTGAAACAGCCTCACAGACAAATGGGCCAAAGAGCATGGCATTGAGTGGGTCTATCATATCCACTATCACGCACCAGTCTCTGGGAAAATTGAACGATACAATGGGCTGTTAAAAACTACACTGAAAGCAATGGGTGCTGGGACATTCAAACACTGCGATATACATTTAGCAAAAGCCACCCAGTTATTCAACACTAGCTGCCAGTCGAGCTGACCCTGCTCAAAACTTTTATGTACTGTAGAAGGGGATAAAGTCCCTGTAACACACATAAAAAATATGCTGGGGAAGACAGTCTGGGCTACTCCTGCCTTGGGCAAAGGTAACTCCATCTGTGGGACTGCTTTTGCTCAAGGACCTGGCTCCACTTGGTGGGTGATGCGGAAGGATGGGGAAGACCGATTTGTACCTCAAGGGGATTTGATTCTGGGTGAAAATAGCCAAGGAACTGAATGGTATGATGTTAATTGCTACATAATACTGTATGTCACCACTTCAATGGTTGCTATATGCCGTATCAATGGTATTACAGTAAGAATTGCCCAGATTAATGAAGAATGGACTTTGATGAACCCAAGCAAAGTGCAGCTGTGATGGAACCAGAACTGGCTTCAGCATGCAACAATCCAGCACCACACACCACCTCTGCTGCCCAGAAGGACTGTTATGACAGATGGAGCCCAAAGTCATGGGCTAAATGAACTCAACGGACATTTTAGAGGGATGGCCCATAGACTAAGGGGATGACAGCTATGTGTATATTTCACAGGAGTGGTGGTGATTAATTGGAATGTATTGGAACCTGTGGGACCTGGGCATGACGTAGATGCCCTAGAATAGGGGGTAGATACTGTCCTGGGTTTGGCTGGGATAGAGTTAATTTTCTTCCTAGTCGCTGGCATAGTGCTGTATTTTGGATTTAGGATGAAAAGAACATTGGTAAGACACTGATGTTTTAATTGTTGCTGAGCAGTGCTTACACTAAGTTCGGGACTTTTCAGCTTTCCCTGCTCTGCCAGGTGCACAAGAAGCTGGGAGGGGACACAGCCTGGGCAGCTGACCCCAATTGGCCAAAGGCATATTCCATACCATATGACATCATGCTCAGTAAATAACGTGGGGGGAGTTGCCTGGGAGGAAGTGTTGCTGCTCAGGGACAGGCTGGGCATTGGTCAGCGAGTGGTGAGCAATTGCACTGTGCAACACTGGCTTTGTATATTACTATTTCTGTTGTTGTTATTACTACCACTACTACTACTACTACTACTATGATTTTTCTTTCTTTTATTTCAGTTGTTAAACTGTTCTGATCTCAACCCATGAGTTTTCTCACTTTTACTCTTCTGAGTCTCTCCCCCACCCCACTGTGGGTAGGGAGTGAGCGAGTGTCTGTGTGGGGCTTAATTGCTGGCTGGGGTTAGACCGTGACACAAGGGCAAGTGCCGGTTCCGCACCTGGGTCACAACAACCCCATGAAACACAAGTGTGCCCAGGTGGCCAAGGCGGCCAACAGCATCCTGGCTTGTATCAGGAATAGTGTGGCCAGCAGGAGTGGGGAAGTGATTGTGTCCCTGTACTGGGCACTGGTGAGGCTGTGCCTTGAATGCCATGTTCCTGGGCCCCTCACTAGAAGAAGGATATTGAGGTGCTGGAGAGCATCCAAAGAAGGGCAACAAAGCTGGTGAAGGACCTAGAGGACGGAGATGGGAGTGTTCGGGGGGGG